TGTGAGCTCATCACGAAAAGATCCACAGCAACCTAAAGTAAAAAAAACAATAGATATAATTAATAAATTTAAGGGCAAAATAAAAATGTTATTTACGATCATGCATAATCCAAATCAGAGAACAATCAAACGATGTTTTGGGCATAACCAAACAGCCCATTTTGACACATTTTCATTTTGGAGTATGCGTTACACATTCTTTCAAAGAATGCCTTAAAAATCGAAGGTATGGTGTGGCTTTTAGTATAGTCGAGATATTTGTGAAAATAAAGCGCAAGGAGGAGGCCGCATTGGAACAATCGGAAATCAAGAGGAGAGGTCTACAGTGAGTCTAATCTAAGCAAGTAAAAAAAATGAAATATGGGGGACAGCAAACAAGAAAATATGTCATAGTAATATTACAGACTAGGAATTATTGATAGAAGCACGAGAGAAGTCGTAGACTATAGAAAGTTGCAAACAATAATTGGGAGATAAGAGACTTATCCAACGTGATGCCAAGCCTACTAATCTATATGGTCTGCCCAAAATTCGCCAGGAAAGGGTAACACAGAGGATCATTGTGAATGATAAGGATCATGTGATGCATAAAACAAAACGATGATTTGTGGCCAAACAAAGAAAATCACAGGTTTTTGGTAATTTTCGGTAAAGAATTGTTATGAAAAGAGGTTTAGCTATGAGATCGTATGTGTTTCCAGCTTTGGCTATTAACTACACGGCTCATCGAGAAGTCTGGCTTTTCAAGAAGTACCCATAGTTCCGAAACTATCAGTTAAATATGTAGATGATTAATTTGCTATCTAGCAGCATAACAAAGTGTTAAAGACTTCCTTAGATTAGGGAATAGATTCGATAGGATGATTGAATGTACTATGTATTTAGAAAAGGAAAATAAGTTACTCATTTTAGATATCTTAGTTGTTAAATAAGGGAGCGAACTGGATAAGGATGTGAATAGGAAACCCACAAATGTGGGTTTCCTTATTAATTTCTTCGCAAATCATATTTGTGTTAAGATAGGAGTCATTAAATCAATGATAGTAAAGAGTTTGCGTCTAGCGGAGGTAAATCAACAGAATAATGAGTTAGAAAGGCTAATAAAAAGCTTATTTTAGAACAATTATTCATTAGGGTTAATTGTTAATAATCTCGAAATATTAAGCAATGGAGTGAGAGAAAACCACTATTTAGAACAAAACAGGGAATTAGACAACTCTTCGTCCAGGTTCCTAATGCTACCGTCCTGTCAGCTTTCGAAAAAGATAAGCAAATTACTAAGGATATTGAACATCAGGATCATGTATAAAGAAATACTAACGCTTTCCTCGGTCCTGACTTTTTTTAGAGAATCTTCAGGCACCTTCTGCAGAACAAGTTGTGCTCGTGTGGTAGTCTGTGAGGAGGAGACTTGTCGACGAGCACATAAGATGCTATCAGAACACAAAATGGCCTGGAAAAGTTTATCAATTTAGAAATCGGTGGCTGAACATATGACCACTACAAGACAACAGATAGAACGTTTTGCCGAATATGGAGACTTCCCGGCTAAGTAAAATATCAGGAAATCGATTGAAATCAACAAAATAAAGAACATCCTGAATAAGGGGAACGACTATAGGACTATATTAAGCTACGACTACATTACGACTATATTAAGCAAGAACTAGCTCTGGTTGATTGATAGAATTAGAGAGAGGGAACAGAAAGAGCCACCGAATAAGAGTAAAAGACTTGGCTAACCTGGAGTCAGGTTTGAGGCTTGAAATTCCCACTTAACTCATGAGTATCACATACAAACAGCGCACACGCATCCACTAAGCTAAAACAAGTCTCAGTGCTACAGAATCATATGCTAGTTTATTCACATAAAGAAAAGCTGTGATCGCATCCATTCCTCCTCCTACATCACCGTCACTCGTATAAATGCATGTAGGACAGGCACGAAGCAGCCGACCAGTCCATGGAATGTCTCATTAAGATCGTAATGTGAGGTACAATAGCCAAGTAGAATTTCAGCCAGCCACCCTTATTAATTTAGCGTCTTTGGGTGGTTATTCGTAAATAATGGTTTGTAGCTTTGACGATGTCCATTAGATGAAGGATGAAAGGCCAGCACGGATTTCTCGTGGTCGCAGGATGATAATCTGAAGTCCTTTTTGAACAAGTCCAAGGCAACCCTCCATCGGTATCCGGTGAGGCCAATTTTCGAATCCCCTCCATGCGTCTTTTAAGACGAAATGAGAGAAGGTGCCAGCATCAGATAATACATACTTATCCTGAGCATTTACTATGCTTCTCTGATGATGACTAATTCGAGATTAAAATTTAGCTCATTGGGCCGATATTGCAGTCCAGTCCC